GCCGGTGCTGGGTGCCGTTGCTGGGTGCTGGGTGTGCGCGTGGTGGAGACAGGGTGCCGGTGCCGGGTGCTGGTTGCTGGTGCAGTGAGCTGGCTGTGCGTGGTGGAGACAGGGTGCCGGGTGCTGGCTGTGCGCGTGGTGGAGACTGGGTGCTGGTGGTGCTGTGAGCTTGCGTGCCGGTGCTGGGTGCTGGTGCTGGCCGTGCGCGTGGCGGACACAGGGTGCCGGATTGCTTCAATTTTCATATGAAAGTATATATACGTGCACTAAAAAGACGCATTGTTTTAAACAAACTCGTTTGTGTATTATATATATACACCCACACACACATTTGAAAGAACATCCGAAGCTAAGTTTGTCTCTAGCAAACCTCTTGTATTGCAACCAGCCTGAACTGGTTTTGGTGCTCAAACACTCATGTGGTCATGTGCAATGCTTTCGGTTTTTGGCCCTGTGGCAGACCTTCAACACCTGATTTGGAGGATTGCTCCTCCGCTTCTGAGGCGCGCCAAAAAGAGCAGTGAAACCGAAGTGTGGACAAACAGGCTCAAACAGTTGTACCTCCTTCCAACATTTGGAGGATCTTACCCATCACATGTCAGCCGAATTTAGATTTGTCCTGTCACTTGGCCTGCGACGAAGAGGGCTTGCCCTGACTCTAGTAAAGGTACCTCTCTTGCTCACTAGTGTGACTAGGGGTGCTATGATATTCTTTGAGATGCTCTCTTGAAGGTGAAAACGACTCACTGTAGAAAGGACTCACTGTGGCCGCACTAGGCATCGAGCTTGATGCTGCACAGGGCCACCGATGACTTGCCACAGGAGAAAAAGACCTGAAAATTGTTGAAGCCTTGCTTGGAAGCATCCAAAGCAATGAAAAGACTGGCATTGGAGCAACATCTATTCTGAAAAAGGCATGTGCATTTCAACCAGTTCAATCCTCAGAAGTATAATTCAGGAGGGACGCGTGGGCCGCAGTGTGGCACGAAGCAACCCGACCACGAAGGTGCTTGGGGCTGTGAAGGTGATATCGACACTTCGATTTGGAAATCGATGTATAAGTCAACAGCACGAGCGAAGAACGATTTTGACAGTGTGGGCTTCAGTGCATCGTTTGGCACAAGCTTTGTCAGCGTGTCCCTGAGTAGCCTCCTGGCGCTGTCCGGGCCTATCATGAAGGGTTGTTGTCCTGTGTTGGGATGGGAAGTGCGGTCACTTCGAACCCTACCTCAGCAAAGTCAAGAAGCCAAGCCAACAGCAGATCCAAAAGATGCCGCGCAGCGTGCTGCGAGTTGTGCTCGTGCCAGGATCGGCGCACAGCTGTGTCGCCCTTTCGATCTCTGCCTGAATTGCATCCGCATGAGGCGGGTTTCAGGGATTCGGGATGCATGTCCTTTTCCCTGAACCAACGCTGTTTGAAGCAAAACGGCATTCAATTTCTTCTGTGACATCGCTGTTTTGGGGAGGTGGAACTTCGAGTCGCTGTCAAGGCAGGGCAGCTGAACTATTGTGTCCGATGGCACTGCTTCCAGCTCTAATTGAGGTTTGTGCAACTGATCATATTGTGCAAGAACGAACACAGCTTCCGGAGGATCTTTCCAGAGACGTGGCTCCTGAAAAGTTCAGATCAAAAGCCAAAAGCGTGGGAGGTTTTGTCTTCGGGCTGAGAGCTTAATTGTTTGGACGCGTTTTCTCGCAAGCTTCCTGAAGTCCTTGGGCTTCTATTGGTTTGATCAATTTTGTTTGAGGCTGTTGGTCTTTCCACAAGGGACCAAAAGCGCTCCGGAGCATGCCAGAAAGAATCGGCCAGGAGAGCTTTGCGCTGTTGCTCTTCCTTTGCAGATAGCACCATATACATATGTGCACACACATATGTATGTATATATATATACTTATACTGAACAATTCGTGTGTATATATGTACATATATAAATGGAGTGAAAGAATCAGTTTGCTGATTCGGAAGCAACACTGATGCATTGTATGCCTGGTATGCTTTGTGAGGAAAGAAAGATGATGAAAAGGATAAAGACAAGGATAAAGACAAGGATAAAGACAAGAAAGACGACAAAGACGATGAGAAATCCAAGGTGAATCGAACCAAAAAGGCCCTGGGCTGGGCAAGTGCAAAGCAATTCCGACCTTTGCTACTTTCATCAACTATACATATATATACAGTATATATATATATACACCCGAATGAATGCATTCAATGCCAGCCTAAGCTAACAGACATTCCCTGTCAGGAAAAAGAAAAGGTGAAGGCTGCCCTTTTGAAGGAGGTGCCAAAAGAGAAGGACACCAAAGACGCTGACAAAGATGACGCGAAGAAGGAGGGGCCCTTTCCGAGCAAAGCACCGAGCAGAGAAGCCCATCTTGCCTTCGCGACGACGGTGTTTTGTAGATTTATATAATTGGTCCAGACCACCGTTTGGGTCTGACCTCCTCTCACCTTGCACCAAGACAAATGGATGTTCTTCCTTTGCTTTAAAGCACCTACTCTGTTCTTGGACATGTAGGACCAACTCCGAATGCTGTGTCATGGTGTCATGTTGTCACATTGATTTGGAGCAACACATCGTTGGCTACAAAAGTCACAGGTGAGGGATTGAGAAACCGTATCTCAGTAACAAAGAGGAAGGACCAACCCTGGTTGCGAGTCTTAGTTCATGGAGGACCCAGCAGATCCAAGCGATGGAAACTACATTAGACTTGTTGCCGCACAACTGTCAGGACAAGAAAGACACCCGGTGGATCTCTGCCTTTGTTGAAGCACGACCTAGTGAAGACTATCCTGCACACTGGTTCTTTGAAGACGTGCAGTTCCTCGTGTCTTTGATCAACTTCCAGGACGAGCCAAACACAAACGATGACTCGCAGAAGGTTGGTCATATTGTTTTTTGTGACTCCACGCTGTTTGGAGCCAGCGTACGTACAGCCACCAAGTGAAATCGGATCGATTTCTGCAAATCTCCAGAAATCCATTGTGATCTAGATTTGGTGCCCACGCACTGATTGGCAGTGTTAGCTTGCTTCTCTGCTATGCTAGATAGGTCCCATGGAGTATTTGGGCAGCGTGGTGCATACACCGCAGACGAACATAGAATCTGAAAACAGTAGAGGAACATGCTCTTCCGGTCTATTTTCAGCTTCGTCCGTCTGTGAGGGTCGATTCCCAATACCGAGATTGGACGTGGGGACTGCGGTTTGATCCTGCGGTTTGATCCGAGATCTTTGGACACCAATGCCCCGAGATCTTCGATCTTCGCCAGAAGAAGCTGTTTGATATATGCTTCGGCCATGATGTAGACGGCTGCCGATGTGAACCCCTCGCATCGATGTATTCCCGCTCGGTAAACGACATGATTCAGAAAAAAAGGGGATGTGATGTGATGGCAGACATCCCGCTTGTAGCAGACATTGATGGCCTGACTTGCTTGACGCTTGCCTGACTTGCAGTCTTCTGACATGTCCTCTCCAAGCGACAGGACCTCAAGAAGTCCATTGTGAAGCACGATAAGCACACCTTTTCTCCTGTGGAGTCCTCCGATGGGAAGGCAACATCGCTGCGCATACTGCGTGGCGAAGCAGCGAAGCACGCAGAGAGCACGTTGGTTCGATGGTTTGACACCTGGGCGGACTTTATACATGTGTATATATATATATACATATTTACTTTTTTTTCTGCACCTCAACAATACCTACTTTCAACTGCCTGATCTAAGGCTCTGCGAAACTCTGAGCTAAGTTGTTTGGTTTGCCTAAGCCAAACTCTGGTATTGAGTTGATGGGGCACGGATTTTGGAAGCACGAATCACCAAATCTGAGATGAAGGGAATGTCAGCGGTGACTTTCAGTTCATGACACGCCTTGGTGAGTGCAGGATCATCTTCCACTCGCGCCCTCGGTTTCGAAAAAGAAAACATAGAGCACCAAATAAAAACCGCGCGCACAGAACACGGAGTCAAACCGTTCTTTTTTGCTCTTCAGGCCATTGACCGTGGCTGGCATGACTTCGTTCATTGTGACGAAAATACCTTGCGCAGCAGTGGCTTTGTGGATCCAAAGGATGACACCGTTTGCTTCCGCATCCCAGCTGCAAAGCAGTTGATCTGCTGCAAACATGCAGCGCTCGCTTTGCGCTTCGAGAGCTGCAAGACCACTGTATATTCTTGGGGATTCTTTGTTTGGGGTGTTACCTGTTACCATGATAAGCGCGGGACGTTTGTGCATTGCGAGACTAGGTGCCTCTGTTTACTTGGCGGGTGGCGCGATGAAGGTGAACTCAAAGACAAAGTCCAGGTACATGAGCTTGAGCCGCCAAGCAAAACTACGGAGCACTGGCTTTGAGACTCTTTCTATCTCTTTGTTTTTGAATCTTTTGTGGAAAGCTATTGCTGAGGCAAAATTGATCCTGGACTAAATGAGCAACTTGGTCAATCGGGGCGTGATTAACTTGAGATCATAGCCTATCTTCTGGTTTGATGGAGTGGACGTGGTTACGCCAAGGAAAGTTCCCAGCTATTTGAACAGCATTGTGCAAGTCTGGTACCACCTGGGCTTCTTCAGAAATGCTCGGCTCTCGGATCTGATTTTGGGTACTGCAACGACGACGCGCGGCTCGAAGCGTCACAGAAGAGTCCTCCAATGTGTCCAAGGCCATCTATTCGGCCTCCATTACCGGGCAACTCTCTCAACGGAAGTCCACCGTGACTGAGCTGAAAGGATGAGAATGGAGGACAGATACCGTCTAGTCCAGAGTGACCAATTCAAAGTCAAGTCCTCTTTTGCAGGGGCTACTGGCGATTTGACAGGCTGGTAGATGCTTATGCCGCCCCCACATTTTGGAACACTGGACATCTCTTCGTTCGAAGCACTGTTTTGCCTGAGACCAAGTCTATAAAATCAATTTCCCATTTGGCTAGAAACATCCTCCGTCACTGTAAATATGCAGCAAAGATCGACTATATTCGTTGAGATCAGCTTGATAGGCCCTTTGAGCGGCAGCGGCTTTTTACTTTTAGAGACACCATCCTTTTCAAAACGACATACACTGCAACTCACAATCCTTGGGTCCCACATGCTCCCAGAGCACGGCTTTTCACAAAATAGTAGTAACAATAAGCTACTAGGAACAAGTGCATCGCTTCTAGTAACAAGTGCCTTACTAGTAGTAACAAGAAGCTACTACTATTAACTTATTTGGTGCTTCCACAGCGCTCAGGTGCTTCCAGCCTTGCGGGAGATTTTCGTCCGGCTCCAGGCGCCGCGCGGACGGCGATTTTTCGCCGAGCCGGTCGGTTTGGTCCGAAGAGGTCGGAAAGAAGGTAGCAAGGTCAGAGGAAGCTGAAAACGTCAGGGCCTTTTGCCTTTGTTTTTTGTCATGTGTGATTTGGGCGAAAGGATTATATACTGTAACCGCATGTTAAAGGACTTTAGTCTTTTGTGAGTCATTGTAACATCGAAAATTTAAAATTCCCCATCCTTTCAATGAAACAGTCGGCACCATCATCCCCGATTCTATTGCCCGGCCTGCATTCGCCTGCTGCGCAGCACCGCACGCTGCCTGCCTCGTGCTCGCCTCTTTGCAGCGCTTTTGGAAGGAAGGGCTGGTCGAAGATGTGCAAGGCACAACTTGGCTCCGGGAGAGTTTGTTTGTTTGTTTGTTTGTTTGTTTGTTGTTTTAGACAAGAAGACGTGGACACATGATTGGCACTTTAGGCAACCAGTCGCACAGAGCATGGATACTTCATGGATACTTGAGAACAGTTCCTGTTGTGGTTCTTGATGCATTCGGGCGAGCATGTCAGGGTCAAACATGAACATTTCCCATTTTGCAAGTTTATGATTTGTTTTCATTTCCCTCAAACTTGTGGCAGGCAGATCCAGATTCCTTTTGCACGGAGATCTTCCAGAGTCTTGGGGCGGAATTCATCCCTTCGGCTGACGTGCTCAAGGACTGCACGGAGACGTCACGGAGACACCAGATTCTGAGAATTCGTGAAGTCAAACTGGAACATACATGAATTGGGTTTGTCCTCAGTCAACAAGGCCTTTACTAACCATCATCATCCACTGTTACAGGTATTAGGATAGACCCAATATATGAACATATATGAACTTTGAACTCATGGACCAAGACATTGGTGGCCCACCAACACTGATTCTCGGTGTTTTCAGATGTTTCATCGATTCACCAAGCCGTTCTGGTTCTTCTAGGTGCCGCACGTTTCAGCTGTGAGTCTAGCGTGAAGTGTGCAATGATGGATTGGTAGCTCCTTCCTGCTGATACCTTTAGAACACACTGGTTTCTTTTACAGTATATTTTTTGAACAAGGCTCCTGGAAGCCAGGACTTTTTTCCATCTGAGTATGTAGAAGAAATCATTGAGGTGAAATATGTACAGAAATCAAATCTATTCAAAACTTCAAAACACTTAAAAGGAGGCCTTGCTCGTGCTGTCAACACGATGATGTTTCACAATGACAGCACCTTCACTCAACATTTTCAGGCAGAGGAGGCCGCAGTGAAGGCTGCAGCAAAGGCCAAAGGCAAAGCAGCCAAGGTGGGGGGACAACCAAAAGAGCAAAGGATACAGATGCAGCTAATTATATGACATTTCCTAACCGTCTGAAGATTCCCGGTTGGACGGGTGTAGCTGCGCAGCCATCAAATCACAAGGCAAGCCAGGCAAGTAAGGCAAGTAGAGCTTGGTGTTTGGACTTTGCATCTCCCGTGTTCAGCTGCGAGGCCATTCCTCGTGTGGAAGTGCCACAGGAGAACAGAGCCTTGTGGGAGTCCATTCAGGAGATGTTTGAATTTGAGGCCTTGCAGTCAATTTGAGACCAAGCATGCTGGCAGAAATTCAAACACTTAGCAACCAAGCATGGTCCTTTGCTAGATGTTTGCCAGGGCATGCAGAATTTTGCTTGAACCTTTGATGGGCCGGCAGGTCGAGTGGATTGCCCAGGCCGTTGATGGGGGTGATTTCTCTGATAGCTCCGTCTATCAAGGCCCCTGCTTCACTCTGGTGGCGACCTCAGTTTTGTGGAGATTTTGGTCGAAAGCGCTTGAAAGTGCTCGCTCAAGCGAGCGCAAAAAAAGGTCTCAAAAAACCCGACAGCACAAGCTGTACATGGATTTTTGGGCTGGACAAGCACACGCCGACAGCTCAGCGATGTCCAGCTCAGCTGAGGTGGTGAGAGGCTTTGCTCGCTTGGAGGACACTTTGGATCACTACTTCTCCCCGAAGGTGATTGAAGATGGCGGGCTTCGTGTTCGCACGATGCGGAAGTTTCGGCGAATGAACCTTGGCAGAGGATTGGGGTGAGACAGCGACAGTGGGAGGCAACCAAGATCCTCATCTTACTACGCATAGAACACATTGAATGGGTTGTCCGGATGAGGGGAAATCAGTTGGCAAGTGGAAAGAAGGGAATGCAAAGAAGGGGTCAAGAAAGGGGCCTTCAGTTCCTGCATTCCATCTGGACATGGACATAGGAACACCAATATTGAACATATTCAGCATACACCTAGAGTCCGACATAGCTGCTTTCTGGCTGGGATCGCTTGGGACTGCAGTTGTGGTCTTTTTAAGGAGCTAAATTTGGCAATCTCGTTCAACCCAAGAGCAATGGCCTCCAACCTAAGAGCAATCTCGTTCACACATTCATGAGCCCTGAACTCTAAGGCCTACGGTGCTCCAGTGGTATTTGAAGCGGGGTGACTACGACTGCTGCACAGGGCTTTCGGGTGTCACAGACACCTACCTGAGTTTCCCGCGGCAGATTGACATGGGCAAGCGACTGGGACCGAGCAAGTCGAGTAGTTTTTTACTGAGATTTCGTGCGGCACATGAACGACTTCGTGGAACGCACATCCAGAGCCAAACAGAGCCATGCAAAGCCACCACGAAGCAATGCGGCTGTGACCGAGGTACTCCGAAGGGGCGGGTCTCTACCATCTCTATTCCATCATGGTCGAGTGTGACGATCACTTTCTCTCCTACATTCGACCGGAGATGGAAGGTGCGTGATTCTTACTATTACTATCTATCTATCTATCTATTACTATTATTGGTTCTTCCAAAGCTGAAAAGCCAAAGTGCATGCGACCCTTAAGCACATGCGCAGACAGCTGCTGCACATTTCGCGTTTCGTGAAATGTCTGAGTCACTACCCACTACCTTTTTGCAATGTATGTTGTGAACTTAAAATGACATCATTTTTCCAGGTGACCGGGGCCAATGGTATCGCTTTGATGAGAGAGACAGCTCCTGTGCTGTCTCTAACGCCACGGCTGTGGACTCCTCCTTCGGGGGTGAGGAGAGTGGGGGAAGGTTGGAAGAGCTTGAAAACGAGGCTTTTTGAGCCGACACAAGCATTTGTACCGTGCATTCTTCTCTTTTTTTGACCTTTAAACTTTAGACGTACTGTACAATGTATATTTATATATCTTTGTTCATTCCTGATTTCTTTCTTCCTTTCCGTACCAATAGACACATGCCTTGCTGTCAAGCGCCGTGTTCCAGGAATGGCTGTGTGTGAACTACTTGTACGGGCCTTCTGCTGTGCTAAAGCGGCCAAGGGAGTCCCGCGCCTGTATGCTCATCTATCTCAAGGACTGCCCCAATGAGTCTGCATCGGTTCAAGTCCTTCGCACGATGCCAAAAGGACCAGACAAGCCACCCGAGCCATCCAGTCGATTCGTGTTTCCAGCCGACAGGACGAGGCCCTGAGCACCTTGCTCCGCGAACCTCGGCTGCCGAAGCTTTGCCCGGAGTTGCACGTGCCCCTGCAGCGGGATATGCCACAGGCATGCTAAGAAAGCAAATCGAAGTCGCCGCTTGCAGAAACAAAACAACATGCAGAGTGCATACTCCGAATATCTTATAACTAATATTGCTCGATTGCTTGCTTCATGTAGCGCTCTGTCACCAAGTTTTACCAGGGTAGGAAGGCCTGTCGTTTTACGAAAAAAGCTGATCAGCAGCGCCCCCCAAAAGCAGTCCACTTCTCCCAGGCATTTTTTACATGCTTCTAGGTTGGAGGCCATTGCTAGTACTTATATAATGTTAGTTATATAGCAATACCTAGCAGTAGATACTGTAAAAAAAAGATATATCGTTACATCTCCAGTCCACTTCTTCCAGGCGGGCTCTGTGGAGTTGGAGGCAGCCAATCGTGCAGAAGCCGAGCTCCTGGAGGACCTCGACGCGGAACTGATGGCGGAGGCGACCGCGTTCGGTACCTGTAGACCCAGGTTTTGGTAGCGACCAAGATGTAGCGTCCGACCAAGAGCAATTCTACAAGCCATAATTAAGACATTGGATCAATATTAACCCCCTTTCCAAAAGTGGGTTTTACATCTCCATATGGAGGTTTTATTGATCAACAGTCTACGTTACAGCCCACTATAGATCCCAAGAGTGTAGTGTTGCAGGCGCCTACAAAGCCTTCGAAAGCAAACAACAATAAGAAGTAAGGTTAAAATATCGTGAGGTCATGTTTGGTGGGTGGAGGAAGATGTTTTGGTAAATGGTCCTGAATGGTCCTGCTTGTTAATTTGTTTGTCGGGCCTGTTGGTGTAGTCAACACATGAGGTAAGAGATAGCCATTGTTTCACCTCTACCAGTTGAGAACCACTATATATTCGAGCCTGCTGACGATACATGTGTTGAAGGATTCTCCTTTTTGCAGGTGCGAAAGAAAAAGGCAAAGCAAAAGAAGAAGCAGAAGGAGAAAGAGCGGAAGAACCAGGTTCGGGCGGCGCGATCCGTTTTCAGGCAGCCTGCTTTGTGTCTTGAACCATAGCGTACTGGCTAGCAAGAAGCTGAGCTTCTGTGATCTGAGAAATGCCAAAAGCAGAGCTGGAACGGAAGGACCAGGGTGACCGCGGATCGGGCATTGCAACACATGCACCGGCCTTTGCCCAGTGAAATTGGGATGGGTTGGATGGCGCTGGCTTGGATTTCGCCTTCCATTCCTTACCTGCTTTCCCCCTCCTCCCTACCTCGTTTCTCCTTGGAGCACCAAGAGGCCGCTTTCGAGACCGGTGAGAAACGGTGAATTTGCCTTTTGAAGTACACCAAGTGATATGCATTTGACTGAATCAGGAGACTGCAGGGTACCGGCATGTTCTGGCTGCAATTCGATGTGCAGTCTAACGCTTCGGCCGCAGAACCGGTTCGGCGAGCAGGCGAAGGCTGAAGAGCCTGAGAATGCAAACGATGGCAAGGACGAACCAGAGGAGAGTGAGGAGGAGGAAGAGGAGGACTGAGGGGGAAAGACGTGACTTATTCTTGTCGACTTCCTGCGGCCGCTAGCTTGTGGTGATTTGCCTGCTTAGGAGCCTCCAAAGCAAGACAAACTTGAGGCCAGAGCGAGGGAATGCTGGTCACAACCTGGGCCACACCCAAATAGATTTCCACAATCCATGGCTTTTGGATGTTTGGTGTACCTCATTTTGATCCAATGACTGCAGGTCCAGCAAAATTTGCAGTTGAACGGAGTTGGGGAACAGTATGGAACAATTCTTTTTTCTTTGTGCCGCCAATGTCAATGAATTGGGTCTGAGGGTGTCCAGGGTAGAGCACAGCGCTGATGAGCGTGGGGAGGCACCAGCCACTGTCCAGCAAGAATCCGATGAAGAAGGACGGAGAAGCTTTCTTCCATGGCCTGGATTTGATGCGTCCAGGGTTTGATGAGCTTGACCATCGACCCTGCTTCTTCGTGTTTTTGACCAGTATGTTTGAGTCTGACATCAATCAGCTTGTGTTTTCATGTAATTGCATGTTTTTGCCAACATTCCCATCCGCAATGAAGCTCTATACATCTCTATACTATATTATATATTACAACAAATGCAATGAAGCTCTTGTATTCCTTGGTCGCTCTGCCAGGATTTCAGGAGAGCTTTGGTGCTGCTCGCGGAAAGAAAGCTCGAGGTGGCGCCAAAGCGAAAGCAGGCAAACCATCCATCAACGTTGCATCGAAAACGAAAGGAACCTAATTGCAATGGCCTCCAACCTACTAGCGATGGCCTCCAACCTACTAGCGAACATCCAGCTCAGTCATTTGACGGTTTGCAAGAGGCCAATCATTTTCAGGATCGTCCCTTGTACTATAATTTTGGCAGGGCGTTGGGGTTCCAAGAACCGCCAAAGATGAAACACACTTGCTCAAAATGCAGGTCCACCTGCGGAAATGAACAAGAGCAGCAAGAAAAAAGAGACTAGTCTTTTGGCTGGCAACTCTGGGATATTAAGGTTGGAAGTGTCAGATTTACCTTGACAAGAATTGATGGCAACTGAGCCAATGCATTGTTTGCGTTGGTGTGTTTGATTGTTCCCAAGCGACATCATGAATGGATGTGAAACGACTTGTGCAAATAGCAGACGCTAGATTCATGCCACATGCAAGGGGCATTCAAGCAAACTCGCGGGACTACCAAAGGGCTTCTTTTGGGACCCTGCGAATTTCCATAATTGTTGGCACGTGTGCAGAGTTGGCAGGGTAGAAACATGCAAAGACGCGCACACACACACACACAGACACACGCCGGAGGGTTTGCCAGTGAATACCGGAATCATGAACGAAGGCAAGGGCAATCCCAATTCAAACAAGTAGCGCAGGTACGTCCAAAACGAGGCGTCCATTTGTGTCCATTTAGGAAATCGCAATGGAACAGCCATTGTCGAAAGGTTGAAACCACAGCGCCAGTGGAAAACGTCGCCACAATTCCTTCAGCAAGACCTGCGACCCTGAGCCTGGGAAATTTGGGCTGTGAGTCACAACCCCCCTCACCAAACCATGATATATTGACACCCCTTTTGTGGCGGAATCTGTTCATTTGACCTGGGGCTTGGCCCATAGACCCCCGGGTGCCATGACCCACAGGCAAAATCACAGATGCGTCTCGGAGAACCCAGACGCATCTCCACAGACACTCTCGGCCACACGTCGGAGATGTATATGCACACAATTAGGCACACCCTGAAAAAAGGCATCTGAGGATGTACTAGTACAAGTGCTCACAAGCAAAAAGAACGAAGGTACTTCCCCCAATGACTGAAGCCCTCCCTGCCTAGGCAATGCATATCCTGTGCAAGTGGCTCCAGTGCTGGCTCCTGCACCTGCAAAAGTGAAGCAAAGTCGAGAGGAGATAAGCTTTGCAGCACCCAAGCTGCAGGCTGGAGTGCATGGGCAAGCTTCTTCTTTTTGTTCAGGTCATTTTTGCAAAATAAGACCATGACAATACCTTGAGCAAATCCGGCACGCTTCCGTTTATGCCAGGAGCCTGAGAGGGAGGATACCAAATCGGCCAGCGAAGGCCTGGAATATCGTGTGATGGTTGAGTGATGTGCTCGACGTTTGTGACAAACATGGCAGGCCGTCGTTCTCCACGGAGCAGTGATGCAGGAAGCACTGCTGGAAGCGTTGCGAAGGGAGTGGCTCGGTGTTAAATGGTTTGGGTATCAAGCAGTGGAGTCAGACCATAAAGAAAGACTTTCTGTCCTGTGTCGTGTAATTACCATCATGTACCATCCATGAACACACCATGCTCTTGTTGCCCGAGACACATTAAAAGAAAGACAGACAGATCTGGCAAAGGCGGGGCGCGCAGAGCCGAAGGCCTTTCAATCCCAGCCAATGCAGGCGGGCAAAAGCTCTGGAGCCTACAAGAGGTAGTAAGAGATAATAAGAGCAACAAGAACCTACTAACAATGGCCGCCAACCTACTAGCGATGGCCTCCAATGGCAAAAGCTCTGGGTATGTGATACCGGTTATGTGTGGGTTTCTACATGTCACGGGCGGGTGCCATGAGGCAACAGGCCCTCTGGGACCAGGACATGCAGCCAGTCAACAATTCATGTTGGTGGTCGAGTAGGCATATTTATATAAATAATCAATGTTCAAATCTTTCTACAAGCAGCTCTTTCGCCGTCTTGCCACGAGAACGATTGGTCACATGAATGGTTTTTAGTGACTGTTCGAGTCCCACGCTCGAAACCGTCCGAGCAAACCGGTTCCAGTCCCTTCAAAACAAACACTCCAGTTACTCCAGTTTCCATTCACTGGCCCGGCACTGGCCCTGTTCCTATCCCAATTGGTTGAGGCTAAGGCCTCCACCGCGGCTTCGCAGCCCAGCGAGGGCACGCCCAAAGCGGTGGCGAATGGCCCCAGGTCGGGCTTCTTTTCCTTCTCCTTCTTCTTCATAGTTTTTCTATTCCAACAAACAGGCCTATTGGAGCCGTTGTGTATATATACACAGTTTTCAGAAACTTTCAACAGACAAGACTTGATTATGCTTCGATCCACCTGAGAGGACAAATCTTAGACCTTTGCACCTTTTGAGCAGATAGATAATAGATAGTTGACATTTTTCATTTTTCCATGCCACGGTTATCGCCAAGACAGCTGCTGCAACCAGGGGTCCATGTTTCAAAGAAGGAGAATGTTGAAGTTGGGATTGTAAACGGGACTTGAGCAGGCTTAATGGCAATGCCCCGCCACCGCGAGTGAATGGAGCGGTGCCAGCTCCCTCTCAAGCAAAGCACAGAGCCTCAGAAAGTGTCCACGCAACAACCAGAACATGCCGAACTACAAGCACTAAGTGATCATGAAGTCCTTCGTACAAAGCATCTCTAGTTCCTTCATTGATAGCGAGTGCGACGGATGAAGCCTTTTGCCTTCACTCTGCACATAGGCAAAACGGGCGGCTTTTGGTGCCATTGTCCAAGGCCTGTGAAGCAAAGCGAGCCGCAAAAAGCGCCACAAGCCCCACAACCAGGCGAAAAGCCGTGTGAGCAGCTTTTCCTGTAAGTGTTTTTTCCGAGACTGTGCAGCAGCGCTTCCTATTTGCCTGCTTCCTGCAGCTGCACAAGCTTTCTTCAACCAGGCTCTGGCCCCGGGGCAACTTCCTCTGCCCGGGCTGCCACCGGGTCCACAGCGAGCATGTCCTCGCTGGCCACGTCGGATATGGGCGGAGAAGGCGCTTTTCTCAGCGCAGTAGGGCGCGCGAGGAGTGATGCGGAGACTTGAGAAGTTAATTTTGGTCCGTGGAGATCTCAAAAGTCGACAACGAAAGTACTAAACTGCGAACATCTACGTTTTGGAGAATTTCCAAAGATACGGACACAATATGGAACGCAGTTGAAAGTTTTCAGAAGGCCACATGCTTTTTTGTTCATTTTCGAAGGAGCAACTTGTTTTCATTCGTCCAGAATATACATCGTTTGTCAGACACAGTCTGATGGCAACATATATGGC